AGTCACCAGTGGAACCAGGGTTGTGGTCGGCACAACCGGTGAGCACCGGCCTCCACTCACCTTCACAGGTCAGTTTGGTGGAGGCCAAGCCCAGGCGAAGGACCGAGCGGTTCCCGATCAGCCCGTTCTTCAGGTTGCGGACACCTTCGTTCCCAATGGGGTTGTGACCCAGGTTCAGGGTCTCCAGGCTCTGAGTGTGGGGCTGTGGGTACACAGGGGGGAGAAAAACCAGCTCAAGGTGACCAGGGATGGGTTCCTCCTGAACCTGAGTGGTTTTAATTCATGGTTCTTGCTCTAACCACGCTGCTGAGGCCAAGGGACACCCCAGCAGCAAGTGGAGGGGGACAAGGGACACGTTCTCCCCCCAGACAGCACCAGGGACAGCCCAGCAGCAAGTGGAGGGGGACAGGGGACACGTTCTCCCCCCGAGACAGCACCAGGGACACCCCAGCAGCAAGTGGAGGGGGACAAGGGACACGTTCTCCCCCCAGACAGCACCAGGGACACATCACACTGACTCTCTCTCCCGTTGCTGGCCGGATCCATCCCCGGTGGTTGCAGGGGGGACGTCTCTCCAGGAGGAAAGCTGAGTGGCAGCAGGAAGCCATCACCCTCAGGAAGATGCTGAGATCTACTCACCAGAGTCATCCCCAGGTAGGCCATGCCGGTGTGAGTCAGTTGGTTGTTCCACAACACCAGAGTGACCAGCCCTTTCCGTTGCTCCTTCAACCCTTCACAGATATAAGCCAAGCCTGGAAAACAGCCCAGGGGTCAGCGTGGATCCTGTCACCTCTGATGCTGTTTTCCCACCTTATCCCTCTGCTCAGGTGCTGCCTGATCCTGGGGGCAGCAGTTGATGACAACGTGGAGAAAACCCACAGCATCATGACACCAAACTCCAGCGCTGGTGGCATCTCCAAACCCTTTCCCTCAAGTGTTTGATTTGACCCCAGCAGCTGGACAAAGCCCCATCGCTCCCGTGAGCGTCAATGACACAATTAAACCTCTCAGCCTAGAAAATTCACTAGTGCCAGGTTGGAACTTGAGGATTTGGTGACAAAAGCCTGAGGATTTGGTGACAAAACCCCCCTGGGAAGGAGCCAGAGGTGTGGGGACACGAGTTGGGGTTGGCCACATGCTCAGGGTGACCCCCTGCCCACGGCAGAAACCCACAGCAATGCCCAACAAGTGACTTGGTGACACGTACGGCCCCGGCGCCGACACGTGCAGCACCCAAAGATGCTGAAGGATGTGACAGCTGACCTAGAAGGTGACAAATTAATATTTGTACCTTAGGGTGGGACCCATCCGGGGAGCACAGGTGGCCACAACAGTGTTGGTGACATCTGCTATCAGTCACGCTCGCCTACCTTCATACCCAACCCAAAGGCAAGCGGGAGAGCTCGTGTGGCTCCTCCACCAAACCCGGCGTCGCCGACCAGAACCAGGCAGGATTATAATCCAGGCTGGGATTGTTTCCTAATTCCTGATATTAGATTTGGCTGCTCCATTAGCTCCGGGGAGGAGAAAACAAAACCCAGATGGGAGTAAGAGTGAAAGGAGCCAAGAGATGCAATTCCAAGGGCATTCCCATCTCTTCTGACCTTTGGAGCTGCTGGGCACCTCACAGCCCGGCCCAGGGAGCAATTAAAAGTTTCTCTAATGATTTTAGCTTTAAAAACTGAGAGATTTCCCCTCCCTAAATCTTTTTGATATGTTGAAGTTTTGATATGTTGAAGTTTTGATGTTGAAGCTTTGATATGTTGAAGCTGCTCTGTGCACCCCCCCCCCAC